ATGGTCCTTTCATTGCATTTTCTGCTTGATGATTGTATTGGTAGTAGGGGATGGGGGGCTATCACAAATTAGCTAGTGACCTAGGTTTTATAGGGCCTGCCTTGGAAAGATTAGCTGGGTCAATCCAACTGAGGGATTGAGAGACTGAGCCAGTTAGCCAAAGGAACTGAAATCAAAATCTGTCACTTGGAACAGATTGTATTAGTCTGTTTTTGTTTCTTATAACAAAGTACATGAAACTGGGTGATTTATAAGAAAATGAAATTTATCGCTTACTGTTTCTGAGGCTAGGAAGTCCAAAGTCCATCTGGTGGTGGTGACAGTGACCCAGGGGTCTCATGTTGTAAGATGGTGTAAGCAGAGAGATCAAGGGAGGGAGAGAAAGACAGACTTTCCTCTTCTTTTAAAGCCCTCAGAACCATGCCCTTGACCACCATTTTTAATCCATTCAGTACTGCACGGTCCTACAATCCAATCACCTCTTTAAGGTTCCAACTTTCAATTACCATAATAGGATTTCCCACCCTCTTAACAGTCTCAGCAGGGGATAAGTTTCTAATACATAAAACTGGGGGGACACAATTCAAGCTTCAGGGAGTTTTTTTTTTTTTTTCCTTTTTGTCTTTTTTACTGACCGGTAATGGGATCGCACCCCTCGGTGTCACGCCCGTACCGGGGACCGGCAACGGGATCGCAACCCTCGGTGTTGCACCCGAACCGCGCTCAGCCAGTGAGCGGGAACCGGTCTTCACATGGGATCCGAACCCTCCGCGGGAGCACCGCAGCGCTCCCAAGCGGCGCACTCTCCAGTGCGCCACCGGGCCGGCCCATGCTTCAGGGAGTTTTGGGGGGACATAATTCAATCCACCACAATGATGCAATTTGAAAGATTAAGAAAAAGGTACAGCGTACATTTAGAGATCATTCTCTCGGACTTGATGTAAAGAAAGGGGATGGTAAAGGATGACTAGTACAATAAACCAGTCCTATATGCCTCTTGCTTCTCCTAGGAGATCCCTGTGTAGCTCCAAACAGTAGGGGCAGTAGGAGCTCATATATATAGTATCATTATTCATTCATGATCTTAAAAAATGTTAGAGAAGATAGTGTGGAAGTAGTAACCCTGAGGAACTTTTTCAGGAGAAAAACAAGTAGGTAATAATTAGTTGTGGTGGCAATGGTTGGAGAAAATAGAACTGTGCTGATTAATTTTATATGTTAACGTGACTGGGGTGAGGGATGCCCATACAGACAGTAAAACATTATTTCTGGGTGTGTCTATGAGGGTGTTTCCAGAAGAGTTTAGCATTTGAAATGATAGACTGAGTAAAGAAGATCACCCTCACCAATGTGGGTGGACATCATCCATTCCATTGAGGGCCTGAATGAAACAAAAAGTCAGAGAAGGGGCAAATTCTCTCTGTACTTGAGTTGAGATATCCATCTTCTCCTGTCCTTGGGCATTGGTGCTCCTGGTTCTTGGACTTGTGGATTCAGACTGGGATTTACACCATTGCCCCTCTGTTCCAATTCTTGGGCCTTCAGGCTTGGAGTGAATTACACCACTGGCTTTCCTGGTTCTCTAGCTTGCAGATGGCAGATCCATGTGACTTCTTGGCCTCTATAAGCATGTGAGTCAATTCCTGTAATAAATCTCCTTCTCCCCCCCCTCCCATATATTCGATTGGTTCTGTTTCTCTGGAGAACCCTGACTAATACAGGTACCTAGGAAACTGAGGAGATTATGCTATTGTAATAGATGTTGCTATGGTTTGAATGTTTGTGCACCCTCCCGCTATTTCATATGTTGAAAACCTAATCAATGTGATGGTATTAGGAGGTGGGGCCTCTGGGAGGTGATTTAGTCATGGGGGCAGAGACCTCCTGAATTGGGATTAGTGCTCCTATAAAAAAGGCCCAGAGAGCTGTCTTCCTCCTTCCACCATGTGAGGAGACAGCAAGAAAGTGCCATCTCAATCAGGAAACAAGCCCTCACCAGATACCAACTCTGCCAGCACCTTGATCTTGGACTTACCAGTCTCCAGAACTGTGAGAAATAAAATTCTGTTGTCTATAAGCCACCCAGTCTATGGTAGTTTGTTATAGCAGCCTGAATGGACTGAGAGATATATTGAAGGACTTGATGGGGGTACAAACTACATCCATGCCCTGTTGCATCTCCCTTCCCTTCTCCTGGATGACACCTTGGGCAAACCTAAATCTCTTTTACATCATTTGTAATGATTAAAAATCCAGTCTAGCCTATATCAAAACTTCAATTTCATATCTTATTTAAAGCTTTTCTCCTCCAATTCTTAGGCAGTTGGAAATTTGTGTTTGGTCTGCAGTTTTATTCTTTTTGTGCTCCTCCCCTCTCGCTCTCTGTTTCTGGGTCACCTCCAGGGTGAAGGAGTTTTGGAGAGAGCAGAGAAGTAGGAGAGATTATAAAAAAAAGAGGTGAGCATTTCTTACATGACAATGACACCAGAGGCAGAGACCCAGGTGCTTGTTCTTTCTCCTTTGGAGCATTTACAGGTTCTTTAGAGGTGCTGCCTATGGACCTTAAGATCCCCCTTTAGTGACTGCATCCTGAAGCCCACACTTCCAGCCTCTTATTGCTGGGTTTCCTCACCTGGCAGGTGGCCCTGTTGAGTAGTTCCCTCAAGAAGGTCCAGTATAATCTACCTTTTCAGCATCCACTTGGCCCATAAGAATCTTGCCATGCCAAACACAAGTAGTGGCTTTGCTACTTGCATTGCTGCCTTTTTTTCCTTGTCCTATCATAGAGTGTGCCAGCCAGCTTCCCTAATTCAGAATTCTGCAGGCCAGAAGTGGGTAACTTCCTTTATGAATGTGCATGAAGGCCCCAGACTCCTGGAGAGACATGTCTAGTGCACCTCAAAACTCTCACCATGGTGGTTGCACAGGGATGGGCTTTCTACTGTCAGCAAGACTCACCAGCTTGGTAGAAAGATCTGGCAGACACTCCTCATCTTTTGTAGTACCCCCTCTTTGTAGTGAGTTGAGCACTCTCTTCTCTCCTATAATGTCTTTTGAATTTTTACATCTTCCTGATTGAGGCCGGAGTTAGGTAGATGGAAGTTACAGGACTGGCCCGGTCACTTTTTAGCAAGCTTTTTGGGGAGGTAACTGGTAGCTCTTCTTTAGAAGGTGGAGATACTTATGGCCTGTTGTTCTCAGCTCTGAAGTTTTATAGTCATTAACTGTTTTAGTCCATTTTGTGTTGCTATAACGGAAATACCTGAGACTGGGTAATTTATAAGGAAAAGAAGTTTATTTGGGTTACGATTCTGGGACAGCTGCATCTGGCATGGGCCTAAGACTGCTTCTACTCATAACGGAAAGTGGCAGGCAGCTGGCGGGTACAAGCAGATCACATGGTGAGAGGGAGCAAGAGAGAGGAAGCAGGAGAGAGAGAGAGAAGGTGCCAGGGTCTTTTAAACAACAAGCTATCGTGGGAAATGATAGAGAACTCACTCATTTATCCCCCCTCCTCCAGGGAGAGCATTAATCCATTCATGAGGGATCCGCCCCCATGACTCAATCAGTTTCCAATACTGCCACATTGGGGATCAAAATTCCACATGAGTTTTGGAGGGGACAACACATCCAAACTGCGTCATTGACATTGTAGTACAATATCATTGCACACCAGATTGAGAAGGGAGGAATGCCTTTTTTGAGCAAAGAAAGTTCCAGTTTTTCACTGAGATACATGGAATCTCAGAGTTAGGAGAAATTTAGAAGCCTTTTATTTAATCCAACTCTCTATCAAAGTCATGAATCCTGTTTACGACTTTATGTTTTCATTTGAACACACCTAGGAATTAGAAATGCGATCCCTATTAAAAAAAAAAAAAAAGAAATGCGATCCCTAACTGTCAGATCTCAGCTCTGCCAATGACTGTTTGATCTTCATCAACTCACTTAAATCCCCTCAGTTTTCTCATCTATTAAAGGGGAGTAATAATACCTTCTTCACAGAACACAGTTGGGAGGATAAAAGGAAATATATAAATTGCCTAATCCAGTCACAGAGGAGTGAAATGTTGGTTCCCTTTATAGGTCTTTTTATAGGACAGCATATTTCATTTTTGGATTGTCGTCACCCAGAGAGAGGTCTTCCTTATGTAGAACCGCCTCCATACAGTTTTAGCACCTTCTTTAACTCTCAGTGGTCACACAGAATATCTTTTTTACTTCTACTTGACATCCTCACAGATATCTGTGGTTTTAGTTGAAGGAAGTGGAGATATGGGGAAGGAAAAAATCCAGTTTTTCTTTTATTTGAGTTGGGGAGCTGGGGTGAGACTTCTGTGTGACTCCCAAGAGCTGTGTGTATTGAGTGAATGGGGCAAAGATGATATTTCATTCTATAACGTCAGCGGTGTCCCAAGATTGAATGGGCTGCTTGGGAAAGACAGTTGTCTCTGACGCTGATGGGTTTAATTACAGTCTGGCTAGCATTCTGTAGCATTCAAGCCTGGAAAGTGTGTGTGTGTCGCACAAGTGTTAGAGACTAGAGCGCATTTGAATGGTGCTATTCTATGCCTCATAGCGAGCGCTTTATAAGGTCGCTTATTACCCTGAATGAATGGCTAAACGTGGAAGCTACAAAGACAGCCAAATAGCTTTCATACCTAGCCAGGTACTCAAACACTCCTCTTAAGGGTGAGTGAGAGGAGTCCGAATTAAGAGGCCACTTTCGGGATGGGTTGGGACAAGCCTTGGGCTCCAGTACTTGGGCACCGCCTCTTTCGATCGCGGCCGGCCGCTAGGCGGAGCTGGGGAGCTTGCAGCCCACCTGCGAGGCGACCCTGCTCGCTCCCTCAGCGGGCACCCCTCGCCCGGCGGAGAGACTACAACTCCCGGAGTGCTCTGGGAGTGGGGCGGGGGGGCTGAGAGAGGGGAGGGATGCGAGGGCGGGCCTTCCGGGTGTGTGTTTCCGGCGTCGGCGGCCGCGGCCGGGGACGGTGTGAGAGCGGTAAGATGGCGGCAGCGGCGGTGGTGGAGTTCCAGAGAGCCCAGTCTCTACTCAGTACCGACCGGGAGGCCTCCATCGACATCCTCCACTCTATCGGTAAAGGTCGCCGCGCTGCCTCCTCGGCCCCAGTGGCCCAGCTCTGCCTGTGTTAGTCGGCGGCAGCGGAGAGGGGCCAGGCTAGCAGGCTCTGGTGCTGCTGACTCACTGTGTGTGAGAGGGGGGCCGGGCCGGGGGCACAGGCCGCTTGGAGCTCCCCGGAGCCCCTTGGGTCCCACTCCGGTGGGAAGCTCTGAGGCAACCCCCGCGTCCGTTCGCCGGCTGCTGACTCACGGTGGTCTCAACGTGGGTTGGGACAGTGGGCCGAGTCGGGCCCCCTATCCCTCCCCAGCCTGGTCTCCCGCTCTGGCACGGGACCGGGAGCAGTGCCGGCTGGCGGGCCTCTTGCGGACTGGTCTGGAGTCTCGAGTCCAAAGGCCCTAGTGAAACCCGCTCGGGACAGGCATTTCCCGCCGTTGTTATCAGCACAGCCTGCCCGGGGTGGGAGCGCTCGCGCTCGCTGGTTGTCTTGGAGTTTCCTTCTACGGGACGCTGGAAGCTGCTACTTCTCTCCCGCCCCGTACCGGAAGGCTCCACGAAAGGAGGGCCTCTTTCTGAATTTGGGAAATTGAGGGGTGACACACAGTTCAGATTGGCGTTTGGTTTGAGGAGATGGCCGACACGTTCCTCTGCCCTGTGTAGGGTGTAAGAGCGAGGTGTTGGGGTGGGACTGCCCGGCTAGAAGAGGTGACTAATCGTCCCAGTCTCCCCTATAGAGGTTGGAAGTGAGTTCAGTGAGTGTGTTGTCAGCCGCGGAGTTCAGGGAACTGTTGGAACCGGCCGGCTGCATATTGCCGGAAACAATTCAAGAATGTTTTCTTAACACTAGTATGATTGTCTCAAACTTGCACACAATAGGAATACTGAAATGGGAGCCCCCGCCAGTTGCTTCCAACTGCTTTCTACTGGGATTCAGGTGTGAACAAAAATAAAAAATACATTGATGGTGACAGAGAAGGCTTTTAATGTTCAATCATAAAGGGTTCCGTTAGGGCGTGGGCTAGATCTTTACTGCACATGTAATAATGTGATCTTTTTAATGTTGCTTGAGAAGATTTGAATAGAATCAACAAGTAGTATGAGAATGCATGCGTATGTGGGACTTCCAGGATGTTGGCATTTATGTTGACTTTGTCGAATTTTGGTACCCCAGACCTGCATGGAGAAAGGACAATGACAAGATCTTGATGCCTTTATCTTTGGGGGTACTAGGGAAGGAGAGGAGGTGGGGGTCAGGATGCATCTTTGAATGAATGATAGTGGTAAGGGGTGTTTCATTTTGAAGTTCCGATCTTAAATCAATTACGATTGCAGAACCAGAGTTATCTCAGTCACTGTTACATATGTATTTTTATTCTGTGAGTACACACTAACATTTAGAACTAATGTGAGAAGCATGAATTTTAATTTTTTTGTGCCTCGTGCCTAATATTTTGTCTTTCATAAAGTAGAAATTATGGTAACCATTACGATTAGATCATTTCTTGGTTGCCCGCTGTACTAAGAGAGAGTTTCCTGAAAGCTTCACTGTTAGAGCAAGCTTGAGTCATGATGGTTGACAGCCTTACTTTTTCCAGACTCCATCATAGAGTATCAAAGTCTTGGTTTTTGTCAAGTCACGATGCTTTGTTAAGAAAAGTGATAACTAGTGATGATTACCAAAATTATCACCACGAACTTGGAGAGACTATTGGATGTTTGAGTGTTAGAATAGTTATTAGTATTTGGAAGTGGGACAGGGAACACAAAGTTGTTTTAACAGGACATGAATTCATTATAAAGCAGCAGTCTCTCCAAAGTGTAACTTAACTGTTCAGGATCATGCTGGAACTTTGATAGGGTTGTTTATCCTGAATGGCTTTATAGAACTGCTTATCCCTAACACACCCGTCAGCTGAGGCTTTACCTAAAGTTTATTGAAAGGGTTTTTGCTTCATAGTTATCAGTAGCTTGGTCATTTGATATTAATTTGTGGCAGGTAAATACATAGGTATGTTTAAATATCTTCACATAACATAGTAACTAGCATGAGGCTTTGTTTTAATTTTGCTTTAACCAAATGACCACAACAGAAATCTCAGTGTGTGTGGGTAAGGGAAATTCTTTTTTTTTTTTTTTCCCTTTTTGTCTTTTTTCGTGACCGCAACGGATCGCAACCCTCAGTGTCGCGCCCGTACCGGACCGGGACCAGCAACGGGATCGCAATCCTCGGTGTTGCGCCCGCACCTCGCTCAGCCAGTGAGCGGCCGGTCTGTATGTGGGATCCGAACCCTTGGCGGGAGCGCCACCACGCTCCCAAGCGCGCACTGTAGCAGTGCGCCACCGGGCAGGCCCATAAGGGAAATTCTAATGGATGGAATGAAAAGGCACATTTAAAATCAGAGAGCAATCTATTTTTTATGGCTTGCTTGGGGCATGTCCTACATATACATGATCATTTTATTTTTTTCTTGTTTAGAGGTGTTCATGTGTGTGTGTGTTTAAAGCTCTTTAGAATTTGGTTTTTGGTAAATATGAGTTTGTATTGGGTCTTATGAGGGTGAAATTTCTTTCAGTCTTCATTTTTTTTTTGTGAGAATCTTAAGAGGGTTTGTATTTTTCTCTCCCAGTGAAGCGTGACATTCAGGAAAACGATGAGGAGGCAGTGCAGGTCAAAGAGCAGAGCATCCTGGAACTGGGGTCTCTCCTGGCGAAGACTGGACAAGCTGCTGGTAAGTGCTACAAACGGGTTGTACCTGAAATGCTTTTACCTGAAAGGCTGGGTGAAGTCACTGTTTTCTGTTGGAGTGAAGGAACGTGGTATTGAATCTATACATTCATTTAGTTGGTAGTATAATTCAGTTTTCTTTTCTTTTCTTTTTTGTCTTCCTGTGTTATTTCCACAATGCTATCTTCAACAGTTTATTTTCTTAGCAACTAGTTGAGCTTCAGTTTTTTTAACAGGAAGTTAAGTGGCCTTTAAATTCAGTTCTTTCTTGGTAGAGATTTGTCCTGCAGGTGAGGGAAAATCCTATTTTGTTGGGATATAGTGATCTGTGATTTATTTCTGGGTTTTGAATTCCCACTGGATTCCCTTACATAGGGACGGCATTAGTCTTCAGTGATTTTACTGAGCCACTCTATATATATTGTATATATGTAGATAATAACTTTAGGCCCCTGATTTGAAAATGATTAGGGATTTTACCTCCAAGTGGCTTACTGTCCTTCTTTTCTGATACCGAATGAGTAAGACATTACATGGAGCCTTCTCCGTTGTATCTAGGACTTTGTACATATCGTTGTTCAAACATTCTAGTTGCGATTGAACTGTTGACTGGGTAGACTGGAGATGATATTCTGATGATGGGTGTGTCCTTGGAATGAGGAGAGAGTCCTGTTGACCAGGAGGGCCTTTGACCAGTAAAGTGGTAATAGTATTTAGAGAGAAATCTGCTTGAAGTTAAAATAGGTGATTTTTGTCAACTTTAATGTGAAGTGGATTAAGCGCTGGTGAGTCACCTCATGAATTTCCCCCAAATTATGTTGTTACCAAAGAAAATAATGGGGATAAGTTGGCAAAACTTTTTGAACATGAGAACTAAGATCTTTTCCAATTAAGGGTAACCAATTTATTAATTATTAGGCTCAATCATTAGAAAGTTGAGTAAAGGTGAATGAAATTATGAGGATGTGTTTACATGGGTCTTGTATATTATTTAAAATATTGTTTTATTTATTTATTTTTATTTATTATTTTTTTAAAAAGATGACCGGTAAGGGGATCTTAACCCTTGACTTGGTGTTGTCAGCACCGCGCTCTCCCAAGTGAGCCACAGGCCGGCCTCTAAAATATTGTTTTAACTAGCTCTAATAAGAAGAATCATGCTTAATGGGTTTTGGGTGCTAACTATGAACAACATAGTTATTCTTTTAAGCACACAGATGGTTTAGCTTATCCAGTCCTCTAAATGACTTGGAGTAGATACTCTTATCTTTTTACATATGAGAAAACTGAGCACAGAAACAATATAAATGACTTACTGAAGTTCACTCAGGTAGTAACTGGTAGACCTAGGATTTGAACCCATGTAATCCCACTTCAGAGCTCATAGCCTCATGGCATAATGGTGATTGCTTTTCTATAGTTTCTACTTATGGATTGTCAGTGGTGGGTAGTGGAATTTTCATCTTAGGCTGACTTCTCTCCTGTTTAACACATGTATGGATTCCTTTTGCCTGTCAGTTAATTCGAGCTTGGGGGTTCCAAAACAGTATGACAATTAGTCCTTGCAAAACACAATTAAGAAGATAATTTTTCTGAAAGAATTATAAAGCCAGGTAAAGCGATTTAAGATTTTTCTGATGTTGAAATATTCAAGTCTCTGCTTTCCTTCAGTGGCATGGATAATTAAAAGCAATGTGTGGTATGTAATCAGAGCTTCAGTAATTTTTGTCCAAAAATAACTGCTTTGCTTGAAATTCTTATTTCGTGCTTATTCTCTCCTTATTCCTTTTCCTCCTCACCTTATGATGGAAGTTTAGGAGTGTACTGCTCAACTTATTGGAATTTAATAGGTGAATTATAGGGACTTTCAAAAACTTTCCTATGTTGCTTATTATTTTCTAAGAAAGTTGGATGACTTATAGGTATACAGAATAGAAAACTAAAGGAAGTCTTGGGGCCTATGTTCATTTACCTGTCTTTGCTGTTAAAAATTGATAGATTTGTATTGTTTTTTTCCTTTGATTTTGAGCTCCCTGAGAATGGAAAATATGTCCGTTCCATTAATCTCTAATTTTGTTTTATTATGCACTTAATATGTGCCTAGTACTGTGCTAAGTACTCCACACAAAAAATTTAAGGTAAGGGTTCCTGACCAACAAGTCACTTGGGGATTAGTGAATAAGACGATGTCTCATGTTTAATAGTGATTGTAAGTAGTGATGAGCATCATCAGATATGATGCCTAGGCTTAGTTTCTGCAGATTTCATAGCCTGAGACGTAAAAGGAATCTGTTGAGTTCTGTGAGCTTGTAACAAGGAAATTCTGATCATATAATTGCAGATAATCCCTGTAAGAATAGGAGAAAGAAGTCAGTATGATTTTATGGAAATTTAAAAAAATTAACTTAGTTTGTATGAAAATGGAAAGAAACAGGACATATAACCAAGAATGAATATAAAATGGTAGTAGACTAAAAGGGAAAATGAACTGAATCTCTTGAAAAATGGCAACTAAGAGATCATTTGTTTCTCTGTTGGGGTAAAAAGAATAACACTCAGTGTTTAGAGAAAATGTTATGCTAGCACGTGCTAGAGAAAGGCAGACTGCTTAGCTCATGTTTCGCTTTTGCCTTTTCTGGGAAGAAAAATGGTTTTCAAACTGAAAAAGATAGTAACATCAGAAAGAAAGAATTAAAGGCAAGGTAGGTGAGAGAAGAGAGAGCAGATAGTCTCTTTAAGTTCAAGTCTCTAGGCTCTGACAATTTCTGACTTTAGTATTAAAAAAAAAATCCTAGCAGATATAATTATACAGCCACTTATTATTCTGAGAAAAATCATGGAGGATGGAGAGGTGGTTGGAAACTGAGGACATGCAAACGTTATTCCACCTTTCAAAAAAGTAATGAATAGATCTAGTAACTACAAATGGTAACAGCAGTGAAGTTCTGGGGCAGATTATTTGATAAGGAGATATTAATCACCTAAAACAGTGGGTTTATTGGTTTATTATGAACAGATTATTCCAAACTCACCTTAGTTCTTTTTGGTTAGCCTTATCAGACCGGTAGATTTGCAGGGCGCTGCCTGCCACCTGTTTTAGTATATAAAGTTTTATTGGAACATGGACATGCACATTCATTTCCATATCATCTATGACTGCTTTTGCACTACAATGCTTGAGTTGAGTACCTGCCACTGAGACCATATAACCTGCAAAGCCAAAGATATTTACTCTCTGGCCCTTCACAGAAAAAGTTTGCAAATCCTGGAGTAGAGGGATGATATAGACTACATATCTGAGGTAAGCAGGGTGTTTGAACATTTGCCATAATATTAATATGACAGGTACTTGTTATGGATTTACAATGGACTGAGTAACTATCTAAAACATGTTAATAAAGGGATCATTTGTCAACCTGGAGGAAGTCTTTAGCGTCATGTCATAGGGCACTTCCGTGTTTTTCTGGTCTGCATCTGGCATCATAGTTAAAGTCATTTCAGAAGGCATGCTCATTTTTGTAGATGACTGAGTACAATAGAGGACAGAATTAAGATTCACAGTTATTGCCAAAGCCGGGAAGATTAAATTTAATTGTGGTGAGGATAAAGTTGTATACTTTAAGTATTTATCAAAACAGAGGAAGGTGAGGAATTACCTGTCTCGACAGTAGTATGTGCAGAAAAGACCTCGATGGACTCACCCTCCAGAACAAACTAGAATGCTATTGGAAAAAGTGAAATATGCTGTTTTATATTACGTGTGGTGGCCAGATCAAGAGAACTTAAGCCTTCTGCTTTACTGACGTATGCTACCTGGAGCATTGTTTTCAGTTCTGGGTATCACAGCATAAAGTAGTACTTTCACAAACTAAAATTTGTTTAGAGGAGACCAAGTAAGGAGGTAAATAGTCTAGAAACAAGGACATTGAAGGAACGGTTGAAATAGCTGAAGGTGTTTAGCTTGGGGAAGGGGAAAGTTAGACATAAATGATAGTTATCTTTAAATATTTGAAGCCATTTGGAAGGAGGTATAGATTTGTGTTTTAAAAAAGAACAATTTGGTTTGACCAGCATTGGAATAGGCTGCTTTCTGAACATTTCTGTCACGAGAAATCAATCAGAATTGTTCAGGCATAGTAGGAAATACTGTGGGAGAAGGGACATTGCACTAAACTGCTTTAAAAAAGCTATGATTATGTAATATAAGTGAAATAAATGCAAAAGGAATTTGAGGGGAAGAAATCATTGTAGACTGGAGTTATCATGGAAAACTCAAAAGGACTGGACCTAAAAGGTTATCTAAGATTTACATAGGTAGAGAGGATAGGAAGATATTTCAGATGGGATTGTGGCATGAGTGTGGCTTGAAAGCAGAAGTGAATAGCCTGTGTGGAGTCGATGGGGTGGCAGAATGGGAAAAAGTCTTAGACATTGGGAATCAAAGGTCAGTACTGGGGAGTGAAAGGAAAGATAAATTTTTCCACTCTGTATAAAGTTCTTTTAGTACCTGACACAGTCCCATGTATCCTCTGATAATTCAGGCAGAGGAGAATTTCAGGACCCTGAATTAGCATCCTCAGGAGAGTGAGGTTTACTTGCCCTGAATTGGAGTTCTCAGGAGAGTGAGTCTACAATTGGAGAATATTAAAGAGGTAGTGGCACTAAAGTAATTTTAACCTACATCACCACAATACTTCATCAGTTGTTTAGTTGAAACATTCTCTGATTTTTAGCAAATGACAAGCACATCTCTAGTTTGTTGTTCCTAAAGACACTTTCTTAGAATTTCTGTACTTCCCTCCATGGTAGACACCTTTTTTTTGGTCATAGTTTAAGACAGGTTTTGCAGATTAATTAGGAATTTTAAAAGGATATACTAGAACTTCAAGGGCAAAACACCCTGACTTCTCTGTGAAAAGTTTATTCACAAAGGTGCCAGGGAAGTAGTTATTGCTTAAAGGCTAAACTGGAAAGTACTGTGGAAAGGGAGGGAAAAAGGAACCTGGAATAGAAAACCTCTGTCTGTTTAACACAAACTGCTAAGGCAGACTTGGAAGTTTATGATCATGTTACTCCTATAACCTGATTATATTTATTGGTTGTGAGGAAGGGATTTTTGTCTAAGGTGGGTAGGGGCACAGCATATTTCATGTTCTAGAAAACTACTTTTTGAGAGTGTGGATACTTTGCTGTTTATTCTTTCATTAAGATGGAATGAGGCAGAGATATGAGCTTATCCTGGGCCTTCATAGTAATCCAGTGGCTGAATGGGGAATGGAATACAAATTTGTTGTATGATGTTAACTTACTTTTGCTATTCTGTTACCTGCTGGGAATGCTTTAAATTCATAGTAAGTTTCATTTAGTCTGAATCCAGTGATGTAGGTAGATTTTTATGATTTGGGGTTGGTTTTTTTAAATGGGTATTTTGTCCCTAACATTGATGTTTACTTTTCCTTTCTGAATTGCCTTTCACACAGAGCTTGGAGGACTTCTGAAGTATGTACGACCCTTCTTAAACTCCATCAGCAAGGCTAAAGCAGCTCGTCTAGTCCGATCTCTTCTTGATCTGTTTCTTGATATGGAAGCAGCTACAGGGCAGGAGGTAAGCTATATTAAGGACAGAAAGTAGACAATATGGAAAAAAAGTCTGTTTAAGTGAAAGAAAAGCCTGCCTACACAGTGGTACTAATGTGGAAGGGACAGCTGGGAGGACAACTCAGGACTTATCATGTCAGTTTCTCTTTGTTACAGGGCATTTGATACTTTGGGTCTGTTCCATGCTTTGCTTTGTAAATGGAGATTGTCAGTGGTCCCTGGAATCCTCATTACATCAGGGTCACAAACTGATTCTTGTCTTTGAGGTATTGTATTGCCACACCTTTGTAATGTTTTCTGTGTCTGTGGTACCATTCATCTTGTGTCACAAAGCTCCTTGTGAGCACTAATTAAGTCTTGTGGCATCCCTTCTTGGCATGTTTTGTACTGCTTTTATTGAGGGGTGAGCATCCATCTGTTTGTGTTTCATGTGTATGGAAGTGACTCTGGTGTTCTTGTACATGTCCTCTACCAGTTCAGACTAGACCCTGAGCTGTATTGAAGAGTGCTTCTCTGGAATCGCTGAACCTTTTCCAAGGTTTTCAAAGATAGCTGTATTTTCTGTAATTCAGGAGGGGAGACATATCAAAATTAGAAATAATTCTGTAAAAAGTGGAAGATTCAAGCAGGATATATTATAGTTGCTTGAATCTGTTTGTAGGAAGAATATAGTTATTGTCTTTCCTATAGATATATTGATCAGTACTTACTGAGTGCCAGCTATGTGTTAGGCACTATTGTAGGTACTGGGGATATAGTTGTAAAAACACACATTCACTGCTGTCATGAAGATTATATTTTAACGGGGAAGGCAGGCAATAAATACATGTAGAAAATATCAGATAGTATAAGGGCAGAGGTTCAAATTGCTAGTTGGTTGTATATATAATTGTTTGCTGTAGCCTGCGTGGGTGTACAGGTAAAAGGTATGAATGAAAGGCCTCAGTAGCATATTGAGTGATAGTAAGGAAGTTTAGAAACTTAGGATACATGGATCCCATGTTGGAATCATGTTTTTTGTAAAACTTGGTTTCTTGCCTTAATGTTTCTTTGAAGCCTAGTTAGTTTAAACACTTTAAACTAACTTTATTTTTAGAAAATTCATTTGCAGACTATTCTTAAATTAAAATTTGTTTCTGGCAGAATTGTGTTTCATGTTAGTAGGTCAACACAGTAGATGGCTGCCTTTTGAACCAGAGTATCAGAATTATTTTTATAAATAAATTAAAAGGAAAAGTGGTATTTATTAGGGGTATTAGTTTTATGTAACCCTTACTTCTTACTTTTTTTTAAAAATGTGCTTTGCTCTTATGAAGTGGTGCCATCTTTTGTTTGAAATATAGTACCTTAGAATAGGCCGACCAATAAATTTTAGTTTGAAACCAACCAATAAATGTTACTTGGAACTTTTTAAGCAGAAAAAATAATTATTCAGGCTGCTTCTTTGCACTCTGAACTCTCAGAATTTGTCCCTTCCCATAACAGAGCTGACTCAGTGTGTAGAACTGCATTTGTTTAATGATCAGTTCTATTCCTTTGTGGAAATCTATTCAAATCATAATTTAGTTCTCTCTTATATTTGGCCAGTGGGATTTACTGGCCTTTGTCATGTGGCTCTGTGTCTGGTTAGGCCCTCCCTAACTGTGTTTGTACATTGCTGTTGTTTATTGCACATTACATCTGTCAAACAGAGACCTTTCTTCCTTTTCCTAGGGTGAAAGGAAGTACTTTTAGGTGCTGTGTCATTTTATCATCAGTGTCATTTTAGTGTTAGGTAAAGGCTGTTTTTTTAAATGGTTGGCAGTTTAGCTTTTATCAAGAGCCAGAGTCTCATTTCACTAAGCAGGACTTCTTTTAACAATTTTTATGTATTATATGTTATTTGCTTTTTTTGGAACAAATTATGAACCATCTAGATTGTCTCACCGGTACCTCCTACACAATGTGGCCAACCTCAACGTCCAGCCATTTTAAAAATTCTGTCAGTTCAACTTTCTATACTGTCTGCTCCACTTTTGTATTTGTTCTCACTTTACAACTGCCATCTAGTTTGCTTCTTAATTGTTTTTTCAACCATTGCAAAAGCCTCATTCCACCCTGTATATTACCCTATCTTAACAATTAATGCTCTGATCATTTTATTTCTATCCCTGATCTCCCCCAGCTTGGACCTTCAGTGGTTTTCCATTGACTGCAGAATTAGGTATTTCAGTTTTTCTGTAGTACAACATACTGCAGTCTGATCTGGTGCTCTACTAAACATACCCAATGTGTCAGCCATGTTGGATGCGTGACTGCTGAACAAGCCCTGTATGTTCCTCATGCTGTGCTTCACCCTTCCACATTCTCACCTCAAGTTCCTTGTCCTCTGAAACTTTCTTTTTAATGTTATCTTAACTCTTTCAGTGACTCACATTCTATTTTGTGCATGTTATATTTCTGATTACTCTGCCTTGTATGACAGTTACTTGTACATTTGCCTTATCTTCTTTACTGTTATATACAGCTGACGCTTGAATAATGCAGGGATAGGGGTGTTGACCCATGCACAGTCCAAAATCCGCATATCTACCTTTTGACTCCTCTACAACTTAACTATTAGTAGCATACTATTGACTGGAAGCCTTACTGACAACGTAAACAGTTGATTAACACATTTTGTATGTTATATGTATTATATACTGTATTCTTACAATAAAGTAAGCTAGAGAGAAGAAAACATTATTAAGAAAATCATAAGAGAAAGTACTCTACTGTATTTGTTGATACTGTAAGTTTATATCATGTTTACAAGAACAATCGTCTGTCTAATATTTATTGAAAAAAATCCACGTATAAGTGGACCCATGAAGTTCAAACCCATGTTCAAAGGTCAACTGTAATCTCATTCAGGTGAAGCATTCTATATGTGGCAGCACCACAGGGCCTTCCTCATTCCCAAAGTTCAAATTCCTTAACCGTGGCTACCTCTGGCCACATCCACTATACTAGTATCCCTTTTACTTTCTTTACACCTGTAATACTGGCTTTGCCATTTAAACTGTTCTGGCCTTGGGGCATTTATGTACATCTGGATTGCTCTCAGCCTGTTCTTAACATGGATTTTTCTCTTTATATTATTTCAAGTCTTTGCTCATGTCTTACTTCCTCAGAGTCCTTCCTTGATCCACCTATCTAAAATACCCTATCTCTGCTTATTTTTCTTCATATTTATTTTACTTATTTAACATCTGTTTCCTCTTTAGACTATAAGTTCCATGAGGATAGCTACTTTGTCCTATCATTGCTGTATCTCTGGCACTTAGAGTAGTTTGGCTCAAAGGAGCTACATAACTAATATTTACTGAAGGAATGTATGGACTATGCCTTCCCCATGGTAGATGCTCAGAGAATATTTTGTTGGATTAAGATCCAAGTTTATTGAATTGAGTTGTAAGCATGGATTGTTGTTACTATATTTGTCTAGGTGATTCAGGGTCTCTGACATGGGGAAATTGGATGTAGTCTTCATTCTTGGTTCTTTTAAAATTCTTTGATTGGGTGATGGGAAAGAATAGAGCAGGAAGTTATAAGTGGATCACTATCATAGTGTTAAGGCCTGAGGCAAAATAGGAAGTTTCAGAACATTGTTAAGAGAGCTAGAGTTCTGTGTTAAGGAGTTTAGTACCAAGAGTATGAGGGAGAGGATTTTTCCTTGCCTGTTTCTGTCTGGGGATAAGTCAGATATATCTACAGAATAATCTTCAGCTTGCTGTATTCCCAAAGTTGATACGATTCAGATTAAGATTTGGTCATTTACAGTGCTAAGGTTTGGAGCCTAGAAAGTGAGGACATATGTGGGGGGAGTGAGGAAGGGAGGTAGGCACGGGGAGGGGACTTAGAAAATAGGGTAAAGAGGAGAAAAAGAAGGCCGAACAGTGAATGGAACTTCCAGAATTAACCTTACCTTCCAGGGATCTCTAAGGACTTGCCTCTGGAAAGCCATTTTTTGGTGTAGTCTGCTCAGCTGAAGCACATTTTAAGAAACCTTACATCAGAAATCATGTTATCTAAATAGTTTCAATGTAGGGCCGGCCCGGTGGCACACTCTAGTGCGCCGCTTGGGAGTGCGGCGGCGCTCCCGCCGAGGGTTCGGATCCCATGTGGAGACCGGTTCCCGTTCACTGGCTGAGCGCGGTGCGGGTGCAACACCAAGGGTTGCGATCCCGTTGCCGGTCCCTGGTATGGGCGCGACACGGAGGATTGCGATCCCGTTACCAGTCAGTAAAAAAGATAAAAAGGAAAAAAATAAAAAATAGTTTCAATGTAAAAAAGGGGTTTGTAATAGAGAATTTCAGATTTGAAATAATAGTTGTTTTTTGCTACACAGTAATTTAAAGGTTTTTAAAAATTTTTTAATTTAAAAAATTTTTATGGTTAAGTGTATTGATTTAAAACTTAAATATCTAATTTTGACCACATCAAGCTTTTGTACCCAAGTAAGGGCCTTCCTCCAGAAGCATGGGCTGCTTGTATTCCAATCCCCTTTCCTATCAGTCATTGTTAACATTAACAAAGCACAAAGCCTCTCAAGCAAAATAGCTATGTAGCAAGGGCAGTGGCCTTTTAAAATTTTCCTTGGAACTAAATTGTTGGTTCCACCAATTACAAACTTAGATAACGCAGATCATGTACTCTATAATTGATAACAGTTATCCAGTTCATGTTGCAAAAAATTCTTGCTCTAGGAGAAATGTCTGTATTGACCTTAACTCATGGCTGGGTTGAGGTAAAAAGAGCACTGGAGGTAGGGACAAATTGTGATCCCAGCAGCTGATATGTGACATTAGGTGAGTCACTTAATATCTGGACTATCAGGGAAATGTGGGCAGGTAAGATGATGGAGTAGAATTTAGTATTTCTTAATTAGGGATATACTGTAGAGTGGGCAAGCTCTATTCCACATTACTGAAGCAGGAGCCCAGGCATTCCTTTTTGTTGTTGTTGTAAACTTTTTATTGAAGTGTAACTTACACACAAACGCAAGTCCCAGACGTTCATTTTTGTGTTGTTTGAAAAATTTCCCTGGATAAAACTATGACGGGCATTTCTTAGTCCCCCAAACCATGAAAGACTAACGACTCTTCTATTTTCTTTACTAAAAATATTCAGCACGGTATTTTCTATTCCATTCATATCAGAGATCTTGCTTTGATTTTAGCTTTTCAGGACCTAATTAAAAACTCTGAAATTGTCTTTTTTTTTAAAAAAAGATGACCGGTAAGGGGATCTTAACCCTTGACTTGGTGTTGTCAGCACCACACTCACCCAGTGAGCAACTGGCCATCCCTATATGGGATCCGAACGCATGGCCTTGATGTTATCAGCACCGCACTCTCCCGAGTGAGCCACGGGCCGGCCCATAAAAACTCTGAAATTGTGATTGTCTTGCTTTTATTTTAGATTTTGGTTCTGACTTATTTTGGTAGAATTTTTATGTTTGTCAAGTTTAGAGTTAGAGGTTAGGTGGCCACCAGGGGGCTCTAATGAGGAACTGTAAATATTTTGTTGAATCTCTTAGTGATGAATCCTCCAAATAATGTCATCCATCAATTTATTTACTGAACTTGAACTTAGGATCTTAAGGCAGAAGATCTTGCCAGTTTGGATTATGTCCCTTTAGTTTTCCCTCCTTACTGAATCTCTTAAGAGAATTTTGTATTTATATAAAAACCTGTTGTATTAGCAGTTCTCTGTGAAGCTCAGTTTCTCATTTCACTTTCTTATCTTATGCACTGATTAGTAACCTTAATACAAAACTTGCAGTAACATAAGTGATATAATATCTGTAGTACTTAATATGTACTCTGTCAAAGCTAATATGTCAAGAACACCTGATGGCATTCTAGACTACCTAGCACAGAACACCGCTCTAAATCAGTTACTGTGCACCTTACATCACTGCTTGGGTGGCAGATAGAACTGGGGGTTAAGAGTGCCTTTTTTTAAATAACAAATTTTATTTTATTTATTTTTGACAGCTGGCAAGTACAAATTTTTTTGGTGGGGTGGCTGGCTAGTATGGAGATCCAAACCCATGAGCTTGGTGTTACAAGGCTGCACTCTAATCAACTGAGCTAACCAGCCAGCCCCAGCCAGCCCCAGAGTATCTTTTTTTTTTTTTTTTTTTCCTTTTTGTCTCTTTTTTCGTGTCCGGCAACGGATCGCAACCCTCAGTGTCGCGCCCGTACTGTACCGGGACCGACAACGGGATCGCAACCCTCGGTGTTGCTCCCGCACCTCGCTCAGCCAGTGAGCGGGAACCGGTCTGTATGTGGGATCCGAACCCTCG